GGTCTGGGTGAGGCCCAGCCTCTCACTGGAGACTTCTGCACCCTGTTCTCAGCACTGATAGACATGGTCCCTGACCTAGGATGGTCAACTTACAATTTTTTTTACTTTAAAATGATAATAATGATACAGAAGTGGTATGCGTTTGCAGAAACCATACTTTAAAAAAGTTTTTTTTTGAGACAGAGTCTGGCTATGCAGTTCAGGCTGCCCTTGAACTCACTATGTCACCCAGGCTGGCCTCAAACTTATGGCAATCCTCCTGCCTCAGCCTCCCAAGTGCTGGGATTATAAGCATGCACCACCACATCTGATGAATTTGAATTTTGATGTTTTCCTGGACTACCAGTATGCCACAGGATTTTGATGTTTGATGTTTTCCTGGACTACCAGTATGCCATAAGATACTTTCTTGGGATGCTGGTTAGCAATAGCGAGCTGCAGCCATAGGTCAGCCACACATTACAGTATGCTGTGTTGCTAAGCCAGAATACTCAGTAGGGTAGGCATATTTAATGCATTTTTGACTTCAGATATTTTCAAATAATGATGAGTTTATGGGGACAGAACCCCACTGTAATTGAGTAGTGGGTGAGAAGAGGAATGTGACAAGTAGGGACAGCGAGAATGGGGCAGGCGCTGAGTCTTACAACTTGTATGACCTTGAACGAGTCATTTCCACTCTGCTTAGCTCACTCAATCCTTCTTCCACTGAGGAAGCATTTGCTGATCAATGAGAAACACGCTGACAGTAGAACAATGAATATAGAACATAAACCTTGCTCTCGAGGAAGTTAGAGGCAGTCTCAACTTATTTACAGAGCGAAAGAATCTCGCCCAGCCCCACCTCTGTCAGCAGGCAGTCAAAAGTGTGAAATGAATAAAGAACGCAAAGGAACTCTGCCAGTACCCAGCTCCCTATCTGCGATAGGGATTTCTGCGGCTGTTCACCACTGCATGTTATTTTATCCAGTGGATGTTCCAAAATGTTCCAATCATCTTCCTATTGTTGGACATTTAGTCCCAATTTGCTGCTATTATACAGAAGCTCTCTGATGGAGATTTATCCAAAGAAAATAATTCAAAGGAAAAAAAGAACCAGATGCTCAAAGAAGATGCTGCCCAACCTTCCAAATGACTGAAGGGAGGCCAGTCTTTTTCACATGTACCAGCCTCAACTGAATTCCCCACCTCCACGGCCTTCCCCAGGCCACGCTGCCCTTCCCTCAACCTGGCAAGCCACCCATCACTCAAGGGACATCTTAATGGAGTTTCAATCTTCCCCTGTAGATCAAAATCTTGCAAAGGGCTGGCATGGTGGTGCATGCCTATAATCCCAGCACTTCAGGGAGGCTGAGGCAGGAGGATTGTCATGAGTTCAAGGCCAGCCTGGGCTATATAGTGAGTTCCAGGTCAGCTTGAACTGCATACCAAGACCCTGTCTCAAAAAAACAAAACAAAACAAAATCTTGCAAAGGTCCTTGGAGCTCTGGGTTCATGTGAAGCCCAGACACCTCAGCCTGACTTTTAAAAGAGACAGAGGGAAGAGGAGCAACGCTCACCAACTTCCCACCATGTGCCAGCACTGTGCTAGGTGCTTTACACAACAACCACAACGTGGCCTCTAGGACACAGGGTGTTTATGCACATTTTACGGGTGAAGAAACTGAGGCTTACAGTAACTAAGTGCTGTGCCCAAAGCCACATGGCTAGTACTCAGCAGGACTGCAACTAGAGCCTGGCTCTGGCCAAATCTGGTTTCATGCAAGACTCAAACACGGGTTGACTTTCCGAGTCACCTCCCAGTCCCCGCACCCCCTACAGCTATCCGTGCTATACACACCACACACCCACCCTTCTTCAAGGGCACCCATTTTCCTTCTCCCTCTGACCTGGGCCCATAGGCCCCCATCTTATGAACCTTCCCTGGGCACCAAAACAGAAAGCCATGCTGAGCAAAGATGGCGGTATATTTTTTACTTTCATAAAATCATGTCCATGTCTCTCCAACTAGACTGTGAGGCCTTTGGGGCAGGATATATCTGACAGGATAGCTGTTTAAGCATAATAAAACCAAGAATGGCCTCTGAGAAAGTGGCTAGCTGGCATGGCCATCAGAAACATGGCTCTGAACCACACTGTTTCCCCATGACCCAGCTGTGTAACCTTGAACAACTGCCTTTCCCTCACTAAACCACTGCCCTTTCAATTTGTAAAATGGAAAGAATAGTTCCCTCACAGAGTTTTCTACTAACTGTACCTACAAGCCCTTAAAACAGTGCCTGGTGTGTAGTACATGCTCAATAAACATGAGCTGTTGCTATTCTTATCCACAGCCTCCCACCCATGAAGGAAGTGGTGCCAGCCTGCTCCCACCCTCACTGCCCACCCAAGTGCAGGTCCTGCTAACAGGGCTTCTCCTCCAGTCCCTACTTCACAGCCCCAACGTTCCTCTCCATGTGATTTCTGGTCACTGGAGCCCTACCAAATGTGGCAGGCAGCAAGTGACAAAGCCAGTCAATCTCCCCCAGTAGCCAATGGGAATAGGCAGTCTGAAACTTCCTCAATTTTAGGGGATCCTGGCCAGGAAGCAGAAGGCCAAGGGCAATCCCCTCACTGAGGGCCCCCCGGCCAGTACCTCTTTGTCCCCACCCCTCAGGACCTCAGCAGTATTCAAGCCACAGAGCCACCCCTGCCTCACCAGACCTAACCCATAGACCTCTCTACCCGGACCAGCTCCAGGCTACCAAATTAGCCAGCTCTGCTAAACACCAAGCTGGTACTCCCAGACCACTGCCCCAGGTGTCAAGTCCTGGTAGACGTAAGGGGTCTGGACTCACACAGCTATACACATTCCAGCTGTGTAGCCTCATAACTTCCTTGCGCCTTAGTTTCTCCTCTATGAAAAGTGAATAACCCACCGGATAGGACTCTTGTAAGAGGATGCAAAGCACACAACACAGGGCACGGTACACAGTAAGTGCTCTATTGCTCACTCTGAGTAATCACTGGTATCACTCGAGGTAAACGTTACCATTCCTTTTTACTAAATGGGGCAAATAAGCCCAAAGATGCCAGGCTGGAACTCTCAGAAACGCCTCCCATCTCAGCCTGTCAAGAGACCCTCCCTGCCGCTCCCTTGGGGCTCAGGCCCACAACATGTCTAGGCAGCGGCATCCTCTCAGCTCTGTACACACCAAGAGGGTCCAGGGCCACCGGCTGCTCCTTCTCTCAGCTCCGTCCCATTAGCTGCAAGGCATCGCTGTCTTCTCGATCACCTCACTGGGGAAGGGCAACATCAGGCCCCTCCCAGGGGGAGCCTCAGACTCCAAGCTCTAAAGATCAACTCCTGACAGAGTCCTGTGTACAGATACACAGCGGCAGAGGGGCAGGCATTTGGGCTGTGAAAAGCCCAGACTAAGGGCGGAAAACCCAGCACATTAGTGCTGGCTCTCACACTCAGTGACCTTGGACTCTAGCAGTCATTCTTCCTCTTTAGGGCTCCATCTATCTACCTTTTCATATTTAGTCCGAGTTAGAACTAAAGGACCCTGCACTGTTCTCATGTGGGGTTCTCCAGAAGGAACCCTTCAAGAAGCTCACAAAACTCAGCCTAGGGAACTGTCACCTGGCCCAAGAAGGACAGGAGCGACAATGCCCTGCCCCCATACCAGTCTCCTCCAGGACTGCCTGGAGGGGCCCCTCCCGGAGTCCCCAGAGCCTGTGCTCTCACCTCACAAACGCTGTGCCTAGGTTGCTGGGCAGGCATGACCTCAGGCTGGCCAGCAGAAGCCAGCTCATCCCTGCATGAGGCTGGCAGAGCCCGCCTGGGCCACAGTGGCTCGGAGAGGAGGTTGGCACAGGCTGCCTCTGCTGTCGGATCCATCTGGAGGCATGGGTGGGCAGCAGGCACACAGCGCCTCCATGCTCCATACCCTTGCCTGGGACAGGAGCTTCTGAAGGCACCATCCCAGTCCCCAGCTCTGTGGCCCAACTGCGCAGATTCTGGAAGACTCCTAACGCTAGGGTAAAAAGGGACAGATGCAGCAGCTGGACCCCACACAGCCCTAGGGAAGCCCAAATTCCAGCCTCTGCACTCCCACCTTGGGGTGCAGAGGAGGTGACATGCGGATCCAAAGTGACAGTGGGAACACGTGGTAGCGCTTTCTCCCCCACCAATGCATCTCAGAGCTCTGAGAGAAAAAGCAAGAATCTTGGCTGGGAGCAGAGTCAGAGGCCAGCATCCCCAGAACTCCTGTCTAGTCCTTGTCCAGCCCTTTAAAGTCCCCCCTGAACACTGGTTCATCTACCTCTGCTCATCAGTGGCCTCAGTACGTAATAAATATCCTGGTGCCCATAGCCACCCAGTCCCCGAGACCCCAGCCTCTTGGGGACCCTGGCTGTCCCCAAGGGGTGAAGGCACCAGATACAATCGGGACACACAAATCTTTTCCTTCTAATTAGTGGGGTCAGCCACTGGCCAGGATGATACCAGGCCAAGCCACAGAGACCCTAGGGCGAAGGTCCGTGCCCCGAGCTCTGGGAGACCTGGAAAGAAGCTGGTATGGGAAGCAGTGAACAGCTGGGAAGGGTCTGTAACCACACGGTGAGGGCGAGGGCGAGGGCGCCAGCTCCGCAGCACCCAGCCTCCAGCTACCATGGCTCCTGCAGCATCCCACCGGGGAAGGAGGGATCAGGGGCCCCAGGGCTCCAGAGGAAGTAGCAGTGGCCTCCAGAACTGAGTGGGCCAGCCGCAGCGGGAGCCCAGCACCCAGAAACCGCTGTCTTCCAGCGGGCACCAGCCCACCTCTCTCTCCTGGCCTGGGGGCAGCTGCTGAGCTGGGGGTAACAGCAAGGACCTCTCCACACTGGCCAAGGTGCCAACAGCCTGCAAACTCAGTTCCCGGCCTCGCCCCCGTTCCTCCCTGGAGCCGGAGGCTGGGCCTAGATGTCGCGCGCCCCGGGCCCTAGTGCCACCTGATCCCCCACCCCCTTGTGCCTACCTGGACGTGGG